TGTCTTCTGTACTCAACAAGTCTTCTGTATGAATGTACCTCACTTACTGATTTCCATCAGGGTGGTTTACATAACACCTTGGTTCATCACTAGAAACACCTTAGCTACAATGCTGGAGAGTCAACATGATGTGACTTAAACTAGTCTTCAACATATCTATAGCACAATAGCATTGTTCTCTTGATTGGGACATCAAGCCTAAGTTCACCAATTATTTTAAAGAAGTTATCTTTAGCAAATAGGGAGGTACAATCGGAGAATGTGCGTGAATTTAGAACACTGCCAATCTTGTAAGCACAGGAAAGCATGATAGATAACAGAAAAATATTTAAGGACTGTTCTACATGAATTTGAGAAAAATATGCCGAGCATCTTTGTGTTTCGCTCCTATGTGCAAGAAATAAAAACTATTAACTTCTGAGACGGACTCGTGAATGTCTTTTAAGAGGAAACAGGAAAATAAATTTTCCAACAGTGCCATATTTGCCAACAGAACAATTGATAGAAAATTAATACCTTGCAAAACTCAAGTATTACGTCATGGCTGAAAGGAATAGACAACAAAAGTACTGATCTTTCTTTTCTGAAAGCTGCTACCAACAAGAACTACAGGAGAGTACATTTCAGCTTCTGAATGAATTTATCGAAGAGAATGACATTGACTGGAAAGAATACGTCAGAGTTTGTACAGATGGTGCTAGAGCGATGATAGCATCACGAATTAGAGCGGTTGCTCCAGATATGAAGTGGACGCACTGCAGCATCCACCGCGAGGCCTTGGCAGTCAAGAGAATGCCTGAGGATTTAAATCTGTGTTAGACTCTGATGTTAAAGTTGTGAATTGTATCAAGGCTCGACCAATGAATTCACGTCTGTTCGGTGTGCTTTGTAATAAAATGGGCAGCGAACATGTGCAGCTTTTGCTACATATTGAAGTGAGAGGGTTATCAAGGGACAAAGTGCTCACGAGGCTCTTTGAACTGCACTACAGATGTTTTTGCATGACCAGCAATCTCCCTTGGCAAGTCTATTTGATGTGGTAAAATTAGCCTACCTGGCTGATACATTCTCACATTTGACTGAGCTGAATATGGGACTGCAGGGGCTCTCTTGAACAATATTTTACAAGATCACTGATATGAAGTAAAAGCTGCAACGTTTTGTTGATAAAATCAATGCAAGTGATGTCTCTGCTTTCCCAACTTTGGAGAACTATCTGCACACATGTGTGGCACTTGATGCCGCTGTTTGTGATGTGATTGCAGTGCACCTTTTGTCATTGGAAGAACAGTTCTCAGAGTATTTTCCAGTTGAGGTCACACCAGAGTGTATCAGGCACCCCTTTACTGTTGATGTCGTATGAATAACCAAGGATCTGACCTGTGTTGAACAAGAGTAGTTGCTCGAGTTATCATCAAATGCGGCTTTGATGTCAGAACTGAAACAACAGTCACTATTGGATTTCTGGATCCAGAGACAGAGTGAATACCCAGCCCTCTTGTTAAAGGCTGTGCAGTTTTTGATGCCTTTTGCTACTACTGTACCTACCTTTGTGAGAAAGGCTTCTCTGCTCTCACTGCAATCAAAACAAAGTACTGCAGCAAAATTGATACTGAGCCAGATCTGTGTTTGAAGCTCACTGCCCTCATCCCTGACATTGCAAGGCTTTGCTTGATTAAACAGGCTCACTCCTCTCACTGAAAAAGTGCTCAGTGCTATTTTTGTGTTTGAGTGTGTGTGCGTGCACGCTCATGTTGGTTATGGATATTTTCTGTGGTTCCTATGAGAAGATGACTTTTAGGTGGTACTTGGATGCTTCGGTTTGATCAGGGGTGGTACTCGGTCCAAAAAGTTTGAGAACCACTGGTTTTGATGACTAAACTGTATCATAGTCTGTCATTAATAACCAATTAATCAACATGTCAAAAGAAACATTAAATCAATATCCAAAATCTAAATACTTTAAAAGTAAAAAAATGTTTTGATTCGGGGTATACAGTATATACAGTACTTATATAATAGTATATGTCTATATTAAGGCCAAACCTTCAGCAACATTAAGTAGAACTCTAGACCTTGGCCACAGCCAACCAGGTATACATACAGGTAATGAGCACACCATTCACAGCATGCTTAGTTTTGCTTTGCTGCTGTATTGCTGCCACACCTACACTCTGTGAGCTTCTTCTTCCCAATACATCGTGTTCCCTGCTTCCAATTTTCCAAATGATTACTACTTCAGATTGACCAATTCCTTCTTTGATCACAACTGCTCACTGCCAGTCAAAACCTACATTCTGCAGAATCCATTCAAATCTGAAATCTGATTATAACTCTCTGGTGCCCTGTTATAATGTATCTTGTTTTTCCAAACAGTGCATTCTTATATGATCTCCCAATCCCAATGCCTAATACCTAGAATGATATATAGAACTGAATTTTCACAGCAAAAGCTGTTATCTGGAATATCATATTTTGTAGGATTTTTCTGATTTAAGAATTGTGTTACAGCACGAACTGTATCCAGTCTTAAATAAATAACTAAATAAAATCTGAACAGTGTTAAGTAGGTGATGTCATTATTTCCACGTCACATTTAATTTAATCACAATAGTTTCTTCTCCCAGACATTGTCTGTGCAGAGGGAACATGCCAGAGAACATATTTCCATGATTTACCATTGGCAGCTGCAGACAGGAGGAACTGTAGACAGTGGTGTACCACTTTCCCCGAGTTCTGCTGAAGTGTTGGTGTTTTTCTTTAAGCTTTTCAGATTTTCTAAAAAGAACTTTGGCTGACTTAGATACATCCCTGAGAAGCATACAAATCCACATATACACTATTATTATTATCATCCAAAGTTATTTAACAATCTACACATTTTAGGGCCTTCGTTGTAGCAGAACTTTTTATGAGATGGGGAAAAAAACAATCATGCAGCACAAATTGAGAATTTTATCTTCAGCGGATATTGTATCTCATGTTAAAAACATTGACTTTCTGAATGGAGGTCTATGTCCTCCTTTTCCATTACCTTTGAGCATGTCAGCAGACCATGGATGGGGTTGTTTGAGTGGAGCCTAAGGTGGTGGTGGTGGGGGGGGTCTTTTGTATATTTTTAACTTATGAAGGTAGGGGAGCCTCAATAATGCTTTTTCATAGAAATTAATACACACACTCTGTTCTGCTCTCAATTCAACAGTTTTTCCACCCGTTTTCAAAGGCAGGGGGTTCTTATTCAGACACAAAAGACTTGGGCTACTGTATATAAGATACCATAATTTACAACATCTACATTATATTTTGTAAACTGGCACAAGACACAGCAGTATCCTCCATCTAAATGAGAAGTGCCAGATTCAGATTTAACTCGCAAAATCCCATCTGTTGCAATATTTAAACTATAATCCAGCTCCATGTGATGAGTCGTATGAAGAGCCCAAAAGAAAATTATTTTCTAGTCTTTGGCCTATATTTTGCTACTCCTGTGGTATTCTTGTGCACTTATCTCTAAGGAAGGATTAGTTTATGCAAACATTAGATGGGAATTTAGTGAGTCTGTGCAAAACCCAGCCACCGTTTGAAAACATATATTTCATATTTTTGTGTACAAAATAAAAAATGAAGTTGTGCAGTGGTTCTGATAGCAGTGTCATGAAGAGTATTCAGCAATTACCATAGAGATGCAACATTTCTTTGTAAATGTCTGGTCTATTGTGTACATTTTGAAACTCCTAGTTATGAAGCTCCTAAAAATAAGCTCACCTAAACTTTTAAAAAGAGCTAAATTATTATCCTACTGTGATAAAGTATGTGTTTTATTCGCTTACTATTATTATATTTATTTTTTTGGAAAACAAATGATACAAAGCACAAAATAATTAGCTAAATAGTTCTATAACTGGCTTAGCAATGACACTGGTTACTGGTCTGGTTATATTTTTCATTCTCAAAACATAATTCTCATGCAAGCAGGCTTAGTGAGGTCCTTACTTCCTACTTTAGTGTCCAACAATTAGGAAACCTGTAATCTTTACAGTAAAAATAATTATTTCACATTTGAAAACTTAAAGTTAAGTTTTGGATGTGAAAAAATGCTAATGGAAGAAGTTCTGATATAAGCAACATTCTTAAGAAATTAATATATATATATATTCCACAGTTTCCTAATGGCATTGTAAGAGTTAAAGATTACTTCCACTTAAAAGATTAAAATTCCTGGTTATTTGCTCTGAATCTTTGTGGGATCAACACTGTGTTTTTTCAGGGTGTTTTCAAAATGCTAAATTATTTACAGATGTACAAACTGTATGTGTGTATATGTGTGCATGCACGTTTATTTAAGAATTGAAGATAATTTGTTTTACAAGACAAAAAAAACAAAGTCTTGAATATCTAAATCTAAACTGCTCACATAATTCAGACAGCACAATTTCTAACCTAGTAATATTGTGAAAAATCATACAACCCCAAAAACCATATTCCATCATTAAAAAGCCACGTTCTGGAACATTCATTTCTCAGGATGTAAGTGAGCAGTGTCTTTTGAAATTGGAAAAATTTTATCATCCAACTGTACTGAAATACTTCAAGTATAATACTGTATGTAAAAATAATTTGTGGCAGTACAATAACAGTGAAAATGAGGATCCTTCTGCTTCCATCTCCCAACCTCTAGGATGTATTCAAAGACAGAATAATAAGAAATGTTCTCATACTACAGCAAAGCTAATTTAGGAATGTAAAGAGTATTTTCATGTTTATTGATTAATGAAAGATACATTTCCACACATTCAGCCGGCAAACACTTGGCAAGAGGTATCAGATTTGCTTTGCGGGATTAGTGTCTTAGTGGTGCTTGGTAGCAAGTTTCTGTACAGAGTGTTAGACTGGTGTCAGATGCTATCACTTAAGAACTGCTAGCACCAAACAACTGCTAGATTGCTTCTACTTGGAGCCGCCTGTCTCCCCAATCTCGTACTGTATATCTACACAGTTTAAAATAGTGGCTTAAAAGAACCTTTTTTATATATTTTCTCCTCATCTTCAGACAGTGTCACAGTTGAACTTGCAATTCATCAGTGATTTGGGAACTGTGGTTTATGTGTGATGGGAGGGCTGGATTTTGAAGCCAAAAGAGAGAACAGGAATGCAATGCTACTTATTCATGCTGTCAGCTTCTCAATGACCTACAGTATGATATGTTATAACCTTAAGGAGCCTTAAAGAGTTACATTCAGCAGTCTCTGACAATTCTGTACCACTGAGCCCGAGAAGTTTCCACAACAAATCATCAAGGTAAGAAGACTTATTTTTGCATATAATGATTAAAAGAAATCAGTCTTTTTAGGGTTTACATATAAATACATGAAGTTTTCATTGTGTGAAAGCTTTATGAAGAGGTTTTTAATAAGTATTATAATGTAATCAATTAAATCTAACTGTGACAATTATGTTTGTACATCTAAAGTACATCTAAAGAAAGAGAGGGAAATGCAAATGCAAAAAACACCATTTGGATACTTAAGATATAACTTAAGATCTGTTCTGGATAGAAAATGAAGCTTAATGAGTATTTGTATTTGTGCAGCATTTGAAGAATATTTAGTTGTTTCTGAACATAGTAAGAAATTAGCCTCTTCTTTGGTTTTCATATTTTCTAAATTAAAAAAGGCTTAAGTACATATGATCATGACGATAGCTGTTACCAATATGTAATGGATTATTTCACCAAACAATAAAGAAAAAAAAACATTTAAGAAAGTATAGTCTAGTCTATCTTTATAGACATAAAAATTAAATTTAACAATATCATTGAACAATGCACAATGCATAAACCATTATTTTTTTCCATTGTGACTGTACCTAGTAGAATTGTGGGGGTGCACATTTTTATACCATGAGTCAAAACTAACTTATCTTGATACTGTAGCCATTTGGGATTTTTTTCGCATTATTATTTAGCAAAAAATGCTTTGAAGAAGAAGAATTTCAGGAGTCTGGGATTTCATGTTAAGAATAGTCCCAGGTGAAACTAGCACTGCAGCTGCTGACATAATGACAACCACTTTATCAAAGCCATGGATGGCCATGGGATATCTGCCAAACGAAAAGCTATAGCTTTCACACAAGCTACTCATTAAGTTAACTTGATAGTGATCCTGCTTTCAGACCACAATACATGTTTGAAATGAGTCTTTTTTTATATCAAGATCAAACATTTGAAATATTTACTTACATATAATATTTAGTTTAATACTTTTCTTGCAATCCTCAGACACATCCCACAATGTACTCCTCAATTTATATATTTAATTAATCTTTAAGTTAGTTAATTCTCCAGCCCCATCCTTTTCAACTCAGTTGAAGTGTTATATTGCCAAAATGTAATAATAGATAGAATAGATAGAAGTAGAAATTTACTTTCTACTTCTATCAATTTCCAACTTTTTTGGAAAAGGAACAATGTTATGGAATTTTTATATATTAAAATTAAACAAGCCATACCATATATTTTTGTTATAATGTGAATGTTCCTTTCATCTCTTTGATTACATTTACAAGAAAGTAAATTTAATTTTCCTGCCTGTATGTGAAGTAGCCACATCTTCCATGGGTTATTTGTTTGCGGTTAGTTGTGTTGCAAAATTAACAGAAGGTCAAGATGGAGATGGCTGGTTTTAGAGTTGTGAAAACATACTTGTTCAGGACAGTGTACAGTATGTCATTTTTGACAGCTCAGATATTTAGGTATTTACTGGTCTGATCCACAGAATTAATCTGAGTCTCATATTCCATCCACTGTGACTTTAGGTACTACTTGGGCATGTTGGACATGTCCTGCCAGATCAATTTGAATTCTCATGTAGAGCAATGACAGCAATGCAGAGAAAAATAAAAGTGTGAATTTTATTTTAAAGCTTATCTTACCTACAAAATATGTAGTTCTATATGGTGATTGCTGGAAAGACATCTTGTAATCATTAAAGCAGTACTATGTAAAATATCACAATAAAATAGGAAAAATAAATTGGTATATAATCCTTCTAAATCCTTATATTTTATTACATAGTATACACATTTTACAGTATCTATTTAGTATACACCTAAATAGTTGATTGCTAAAGTGTAATTGGCATAAACGTTACACAATCTTTGCATGTAACATTATCTGAATGACTAATGCAAAAAAGTTTTGAACTTCAGTTTTTAAATAATATTCTTCATATACAGTACTGTATATGGAGTGCATTAATATAATTACTGGATTGCCTGCTTAGTTCTATATATGTTGGTGTAAAAGGGTTGCATATACGTACAGTATGTTATAATGTATACTGTAAGTCTGATGTGGTATAGACGATTTCTGAGGTGTGAAGGTGGAAATTTGGATTTGTAGTGTATTGGAATTTCCTAAACAGTCCATTAGGTCATTGTAGTTCCTGTCATGTGTTGAAGCTTTTTGCTGCTTTTCTTATATACAGTATGCTAGTTTAAGTGTAATTGTAAATTCTGCATTGCTGTTCAAGTTGGTTGGATCTATTAACTGAATGAAAATATGTGATGGCAGTTTCCATTTGTGTGAGGACTAATTCAGTGTTGAATGTAATGCATTTGGATGGAATGCACTTGAGTAGTATACAAAAGAGTGTAAACATTATTTATGTTTCTTCAGTGTTATTTTCTTTTTGTGTATTGTGTTTCTCTGTACTCAAATTGACACTCTGGGCTATCGAGTAAATTTAGTTTTTCAGATTATCTTTGATTGCAATAAAGAATACATTCTGAATGGAATATGATTCTCATATTTTAATAAACTACAATAGTTTGATTTCTTTATTCATTTACTTTATTTTATTGTTAACTTATAACAATAATAAAAAGTATAAAAAATAAAAAGTATACAAATCTTTTAAATGACTGTGGTTGATGATGTTACAACTTTTATAAGTTTTTGAACTGTTGTAGTAATAACATGACGACTACTTGTTATGATACCCTGATATGCTTGTACAGCAGCTCTGGCATTCTGGCTCTGTTTAGGCTTACTGAGTTAAAAAAGATTCGAGTTTGGTTTATCACAATCATATATGTTTATCCTTGTTTCTGATTCTCTGTAAAATAATATTTCCCTGGCTCCAACTACAGTTTTTAGTGCTGCTAAAATATCCCTTAGTAAGACATTATTGACAGCATACAACAATGGAGTACACTCATCTTTTTCAAGCATAAAGTCCCCTGACACCATTTAGTAATTCAGGCCCTTTTAATAAGTAGCAACTGGTGTTGAGACAATTTTTTTAGCTTTTAGTAGTGAGCAGTGAGTGATTTACTAAATTACTGTGGAGTTAAGCAGCCTTATGTTTTGTCATATTTTTGGATTGTCATTTGTCATACAGCACTTATCCAAGAACCATTTGTAATTTCTATGAGAAACAAATAGCAGTAAAGGAACACTTGCTGTTAACCACATAGGTCACATAGAGTGTCTCTACTTTCTTTGTTTCTAGTAACTTAAAATATACATATCTACTGTATAATCAGACTTTGTATGCGATTGTTGTATTTGTGTACTAAAAAACGTAATGTAGTTCAATGAAAATGTGTCAGTGTAACATAAACTTCAAATCTAATTTAAATACCTTGAAAGCATTTGGCTGTATAGTACAATACGTACTACATGTCTTTTAGTCTTTTGATAGAATCTGACTTTTGGGAAACAAAAATACAGAAACACATGCTTTTAATCTGTATTTCACCATTGTAACTGATGATAAACCAATATAAATACTGATTTGCTGTTGATACTGATCAATGCATATATTGATTGATGAAAACTAAATTGAAAGAAAGAAATATTTCATTGTTTCATTAATATGGATCTCTAACCAGTATTAATATTGAATTGCTTGCTTATCTATCTTGTTGGGCACCATAAGTCTTAAATTTCAGAGATTTGTAAACTTTGTAGTCACAATGTTTCCATTAAAGGAAACACAATTGCCAAGATTCAGAGGCTGAAGCGCTATTGTGACAGACAGTTTTATATTTGAGAAGTTGAAGGAAAAATATTTTTTAGGAAACTTCATAATTTACAGTAATCTGTGTAGTCTGTAGTTAAGTTACTATGCAAAGTACTGTATTACATCTGTAATGCATTATCCTCCAACTTCTAATTAATTAAATAATATAACCCTTCATACAACTACTTTACTTTAAAAGCAGCTTCCCCAGCACTATAAGGTAATCAGGTCTGAAACTTGTTTCTGCACTATCATAAGGCTTTAAAAGGCAGCTGATGGAATTGTCAAAATGCTTGTGCCATACTAAGCAATTGTTCAAAAAAGCAAAATTTTGATTAACATTCATGTAGAGGAAATACATCTAAATAGCAACCAGTGCAATGTGGGACCATGTAAAATAATTTGGCTTTACTGAATTATTCTCAAATAAACCCAGCAAAGCAGTACATGTTTCTGTTTACACAAAGATGTTTTTACTTACACTATGCTTGTCAGTACATTGTTTCCTCTTTCCATTGCTTTCAGAACTACATCATTGAAATATCCAGTTCTGTACAAGTTTTGTATGTTGATATTTGTATTGATAAATGCATAGACAGATGCTGCATTCATGGCCAATTACAGCTTGTCAAACAACATTAGAAAGATTTCTGCCTACATGTTAGTTTTGCACATCATGTTGTCTGTTATGCTTTTGTTAATAACTATTAGATATTTAAAAAAAGTTTTTTTCTTTTTTTAATACTCTATGAAGACTCAATGTTACATATATACCAACTAAAGAACCACTTCCACTTCATTGTCTGTGTTCTAGGATGGTGTCTTCTCAGAATTGTCCATGCAATTCGAATTTCAGAATTCACAGCTGTCAATGCATCACCAATGTAGGGCTATACTGATCAAACTGAACTGTAGCAGTTCGATAGATAATACACAGTGATCTCTGAATATTCAACAATAGTCATTGTTATAAATGTACATATTTCTGAAGAACTAAACAAAAAATGAAGAGGCAATAACTTTGTCTATTTTTTGGCTATTAGCCTTTGTCTAATTGTGCTTGTTGTGTTCAATAGAGCAGTTTTCTGATTGTCCTTCAATAGACACAACAATCTTCAAATGTACTGCTGTTGTTTTTCTATTCTATTCCTGTCTGAAATGTATGTTTAATTAAAATCAATCTCACCATTCTGAAACTAAATAGTACATATTTAAAATTGAATGGATACAGTATAAATGTCCATATCTGAGGTGCACTAGCATAAATATACAGTA